GTTGCCGCGCGCGTCCTTAGACACACGTAATGCACGTCTCCCTGTGACGGTGTTGGAGGCGCTTGAGGCCCATCTAAGCCTACCGTAAAAGAACGCAAAAGAAAAAGAGTAGTGGCATAGGAGCCCAAAGTGCGGATTTGCACTGAAGCTTTGTAATCCACCATAACTCAACGCAATGGTAATTGACGACATGGAGATGGTTGAAATGGACTACGCCAGTATTTACAGGCTATTAACGAATATTTAAAAATTCAACATTGGACTTAAAAAACTTCAAGAGCCTCGTCAACTGTTTAAAAAACTTCAAGAGCCTCGTCAACTGTTTATTCCTCACCCCCATTTCCGGATCTAAAGTATAATGATCGACAGCAAACAGATTGCAGTCCTCCTCTGTGATAATATTAGTATAGAAGCTGAATGAAAAGGATTCTATAAGAGTTAGATGTACCTCACATTAACGTAGGTGTCACAGTAAGATTACTCGCCTATTTTGGTTGATACTCTTTCCCTTCCAGCCTGGTCCTGACCAGACCAGCTTCAGATTATTCACACATTGTACTGAATGGATTTCATTTCGGAGGTAGCCCTTGTAGCCAAAGATGAATAAATTGCAATCGCCGCTACATCGACTTTAGGCTATTGTTCCATCGCAGGCTGACGACTGACGCGACGCAAGAATAACGCGTGCGGTGATCGATATCTTGGACTGGGCGACGCCGAAACAAAACGTGCTTGAAAAGCTTTCAAGTATCTCTATTCAGGCACTGCTTGCAATTCCACATTGCAAACTCTAGACTGTTCCAGAGCGTAATAACCTATTACTGTTATCCGGAATCTGCAGAGAATTTGTTAAGGAAAGGATACGGAAATGTACTGCTAAGATGGAAGTTACATCATCACTTTCAGGTATCTAGTCCCCAAAGTGGATTCCAAGACTCATGAAGGCGGAGACAAAGGGTGACTTAGTGCCTTGATGTAGATCTCTCGCCGAATGAAGATCGTTAACTCTAACAAAGTATTTTTACTAGATAAAAGCTATTTAATATGGCTGCACCAGAGGGTCCACTCGTTGCCCTATTGCTAACAAAAGACAGAGTTGGTGGTCTCCTAATATTTTGGTCAATAGGAGTGGTTGACTGTTTGTCGATCATTATACCTTAAGAGTATAACCACATAGTAAACTAATTACAAATACTATCACGTACACTACACAACAGCCACAAAAAAAAGAGAAAATGTCGATGCATATTCACTCGATGACGACGTTATGATATCATCTTCGCAAAACGGTAATAAGTACAACAAAAGCATGAAATCGGAACGATTTATAGCACCATGAAATGAAAAGTCTCAAATTGTTCATAAAGTAGTAGCAGTTTAGCACCTTAAATGGACATGGAAATTCGCAAATTAAAAAATAACAGCTGCCGTTGACAAATAGCTCAGTTGAAAAAAATATTCACAGAGAAGCATTAGTTGTTTAAGTGGTAAAATGATTTGAAGTAGCTTAGAAATCTGTATAAAATCTGTGAGCCCTCCTGTACAACCTCATGACTTAATTTAGTTAACAGTTTAAAAAAATCGCAGACAGGTCAAGTTAACGAAAAAGAATCATTTACTCTCTAAGCTAACTACTACGTACTATATAGTGAAACAAAATCACGGTTCTGTATCATCACAAGTATGTTTTACCTAACCCACTCCGTAAAGCAGGTAAAAAAGTAAGTAACCAAATAATCAAGCACAGAATCATGTGAGGATCTCAAAAATGCTGACTAGATTACTGGGATACGCTCATCTCCATGGTTGGTCTAGGGGTCGACACCGGTGACGCTGCGTTTAAGCTTCCACGACGAACCAGCTCTTCCAAACGTCGTCGAGCTCGTTGTTCTCGATCCAACGCACGGTTCATAGCTGCAAGTTCCTGACGGAGACCTGCCACCTGATCTTTCAACGCATATACAGTATCCACCAAGCTCCTACAAAACCAAAAATTATACCAATCACCAAAGTGGCTTAAATGTTGAAAAGCAAACCATACTTTTCCTGAATGATGATCTCATCACCGACAACTTCTTCAACAAGAATTTTTTCATCTTCAGCTACGATCAACTGAGGCGGTCGACAATCTGTGATGACAGGAGCACCTCTTGCAGCTCCACTACAGTATGCTTCAATGATACGCAATAGCTGCGCATCATGTTGCTCACCAACACTAACTTAAACAGCAATGCTTAACAGAACTGCGCACTACTCTGACAACAAACATTCCCAACCTACCTTCTTTTCTCATTTTTACGTTCTTTTTCGATGTTGCATTCCACGCCAATACATGACGATGAGGAGGTACCACTCGGAAGCACATTTTCTTGATGGGATCTACAAGCATATTAACAGCGTAAACATTGCAGGATGTTGCCAAGAAATATTACCATTAAGGGGACGTTGATTGGAAGCATTAGGACCTGACTCATCTGCATCGTCGGGCAGGATCATTTCCAACTCGTGGTTCAATCGGAGTTCATTGTTTCCTATGCTAAAACGATCTTGAAAAAATTGTCAAAGATGTCGTATCGCACTAAGGACAACATGTTACAAAATTTTACATGAAATGAATATGAGACCTAGACTTGGAGAAAAATTATACACGCTTTGCATAGAAGCTGGGGAAAGTCATTCAACGAGAAGGGCAAAGTTAGATTGAAGTAACGTATTGAGAAAATCGCCAAGTTTATTAAATAGTACTTACGACGCTTTTCGACCAACAACTGCTCGCTCTGCGATAGGCATGTCCGAGATATCCGCTTTACGGGACGGAGGCATATGCTAAATCGCAGTAATAGTAATAATAGTTCAAGCTCTCAAAAAGCAGATACCAGTAAAACTTATATTCTATGCAACCGCATAATTATGATCACAGAAGGTTGGAACCACATGCCCAAAAAATTTGCAGTTTACTTCACATGAATGCCAAGTTTCCCCCCCCCCCCCCCCCCCCCCCCTGCTTCAGAACCATTACTTTTAAGACGCAATGCTTCTGACAGCTTACTTTGTTCGAACTAGAAAAAGCTCAAAATTAAAGCATAACGAACACCTCCCCCTACGCAATATTCCTTTCCTAAGAAAGCTAAGATACAGATGAAGTGAAGGTAGAAGGAACCAACCATATTACTAACAGCATATGATTGCGGTACCGCAGGCGGCGTCATTACTGAACAATCCTCAATCACTATGCCCTCACATCTCGCAAAAGCTTCAAGCCATCGCTCTAAGTCAAACGCTGACGAAACAGAAAGCTCCATATCACCTGCAAAAATCATAAGTAAAACGAAGCTATAAGAGCTTCCAATGGTGTACGCATCATACGCTACTCATACAGTAAGTAACACTACACCAAGACCGACATGCGAGCCGGTTAAGCTGCTGGAGTTATACGAGCACTCACCGACAACGAGACCAGCCCTGTTCTCCATACAGCGAACCTTCAAGTTATATGTGGAGACTTTACGCATTAATCTATATGAATTAATATCCAATGTGATTTCGAGAACCATAAGCATTCTCGAAAACAGCGCGAGGCATCTGAAATTGAATGAAACGAGAATCGGAAGAAGAGAACTTGTTTTTTACTCATTCTGCCAGCCTATGTTATCAGATAGGAACTTTATCGTTATTTAGGCTGATGTTTCAAACTTCTCGTCTCCATCAAAAGCCTCAAGATCTCAAAACTTTTGAGTTGCATTATGTTCGAGGACCTTCTCCTTCCCTTAAGTTTTCGTGAGGTTGCGTTCAGATCATCCTAGTAGAAAAGCCGAAAATGTATTGCTGAGCTCACTGAGTCATTATCAATTAGTAGATCTACTTGAGTTTTTTTTTTGGTGTGTATATGTCGAAAAGTATAGTTACGCGCTCACCCTTACTACTAGGTTGAGTAAAAGTAAATTTCGCTTCTGACGCCGCTATTCGAAACTACCCAACTTTTCCACAATCTACTTCACTAAGTGCAATATTTACCATGACTCTTTAAGTGTCCTAAAGATGGAGTGTAGAAGGAGATCCTACCCTAACAGCCTTGGTATACTTACGGCCGGAAAAAATTACGAATGATCGACCAAGAGTCCAGGTTAAAGGGAGTGTTTTAGCGAAAGCAACATGGTTTTTCTCTTGAGGGACACAATTAGGCAAAGTTGAATTCATTTTCCCATTATAACACTGCTAGCGAGGGGAGTTCAACTGACCCGCGAATATCGGTTGGACTTTTGACGAGTTCGTTATTAGTAACGCCAGCTTTTTTTTCTGGAGAGTGTTCTCCAAATAAATTCGAAACAACAGAAGAGAAGAAGCGTTTGCGGGGAATCTTTGCAAGTCAAAAGTTCAGAGCTATATTTAGGCTTTCGAATAAAAACCGAACCGAAGAGTGCATAGGACTATAGTAGAGGTCCAGCACCACAAGCTCATAAAAGAGCCAAAACGCACACTGACACATTGGAAAATTCGATCTTTCTGAGATGAATCACGTAGACATCATGAGAAAGTTTTTAAAAATTTCAATTTTATGTCCAACAAACCTATCATCACAAACACCATCGCATGTTAGTGGGACTACGCCTACATAGAGTATGCGGCCTCGTTGCTCGAAGGAAGCCCAACTCTCTACTAACCCAGTGTAGAGAAGCTCAAGCTGAAGCTCTTTCTGCTTTCGAACGGCTTCACACAATGCCTGAAAAACAAGATACATTTTGAAAAAATGGTGCATGAACGGAAAAGCACAACCCACCTTCATCTCCTTAAAGACTGCGCATGATCGTTGAACATCCCCACGATCGATATGCCCTTCCTACAAAACTGAGAAGTTCAATCTCAATTGACCAATCGCAAGACTAATAACCCATTAATCAGTGATATCCACATTAGCCTTTTTACTTTCTACTCTGACAATGACCACAGTAAGGACACTTCCTTGGATTTAATAAACAAATTTTCTACTTTTGGCTACTGTTTTTGAAATTTCAGAACTCTGACAATGGCACAGAACAAAACAACGATGAATCGATCCATGAATAGAGGTGACAGAAGTGGAACCATATTTTAGCAAATTGAAAACAGTAGTCACTTCCACCAGCATTTGTTATTATTCCTAACTTGTTCCATTCTTGCCCTCTCATCAGTATGTTTGAGTCCAATTAAACCTCCCGAAAAAATACAGTAATAAGAAATGACTCATGATCCGCCTTGATCCGCCAGAATTTTTCATTCTTTAGAGGTACTTTGATCACTCACGAAATCGCTTTGTTGAAAGAGTCACGCTGTTTCGTTAATTTATAGCAGAGGCTGCTTTCATAGTCCACGATTTGGCTCGCGATCGCTGCGACCAGTCGCGGGCCAAATTGTGGACTATGAAAGCAGCCAGAACGGGAGCATCAAAATAGGAAACCCTCGAGATATTTTACGAACCATCGTCTTGGTAGATCGCCGGCAAATGTTCTATGTTCCTATCATTTGAAAAGTAGTGAGGTCACAAAAAAGAAGCACAACTCTTTACAATTACTGTACCTTGATTCATATAAAATTTAAGTTACATTGAGCTACGTTCATTCACTAGCTTTTGAAGCTATAGCATTTTAGCAGTTAGTATTTGCATATCGCACGGTATTTGGCTTGATTAGATTTTCCCCAGTCTAGTTGTATACCTGTATGTAATACATACATATATCTACGTATTTATGTACACACTCGTATGACTAATTGCAAAACGGAGATGTGAAGGGACTCAACAAAGGTAGTAATCGAACATAACTCACAGGCATGTTACGCTCCAACTCCTGCAACACTGTGGGATACTTATCGAGATGACGAAAGGGTTCACTCAGACCAGCAATCAAGCTAGGGACGTCTCTACCATGTCCAAGTAGCACGTTCCTTACAGCATCCCTGAATTCTGTCTCATTCCTGGATTTTTTAAAAGAAAACCAATCTGAACAGAAAGGTTCGAGAGCAAGCAGAGCGTTGGACATATATTTCTTGCTGAGCAATAGCTTCACATCCCATCTTAAAAATATTGGTCAATTATAGCAACAGCCAACGATAGCTAATAGCAAGCATATGGAGCGCCATCGAGAGTACAATGAATTGAAAAGTAGAGAAATTGTGAAGAAGACATCGTTGATTGAGGAGGAAAGGCTTTCATTGGAGCCAACGTGCACAGCTAGATGAGAAAATTTGGGGCAACATTATCATCGTAATCGTCATTTCTTCTCCTCAGGAATGACCCAACAGGGCGATTTTGATAGAGTTACCCATGAGAGACTTATCATTAGCCGCATTCATGCTACCCGGCCTCCTTGTCGTAGGCCGTCGATCGAGTGCCCATGTGAGCATTCAAAACGGAGGAAATACGCGCCTAATGGCCTCGAAAGGCACCGTTCTCATTCGGATGATCGTCGATGGCTAGCATACGGTTTAAAATTGTTAATATTAGCATTAGCATTCGCCTTTACATTAACAAGGAACGAAAAAGCTAATTGGAAGAATTATCGCACCCAGTAAAAAAATATGAGTCATCAAAGTAAACCCTGCGACCAGTAAATACACGGAAACACGATTTTGAGGCTTAAAAATAATTTCAAGCAGCAACAACAGTGGTCGACCTAGCGGCGTCGGTAGTATGAATGCAACCTTTCCGAACAGGAAAAAATCAGTGCCATGAGAAATCAACACAAGAGGAAAGCTGATACCATTGCGACAACAACAGTACAAGAAGATCTGAAAGACAACTGACATTTTTTCGTTCAATACTTCCACTGCTTTTGGATGATTTTCACAATAGGCCACTAATAATCGCTTGAGTTCTGCGGCACACGAGATCAGAATACCACCGATTCTTTGTTGAGAGACGTCCAGACTAAATACGATCACCGTGAAGCTAACAGCGAAAGATACTGTTAATCGATGAAAGATGATAAACCTGATATGCTCTACCTTAAAGCGTCCTTTAAGCGATAAAGGGTAACTCTTTGAAGTGCAGCTATATCCTCGATGTAACAAGACAGAACAGAATAATCCTCTGGAGAGAGACTGAAAATTCAGTTTTGAAATGCCAGCCATCACCGACAATTATTCCATTGTAAAAATGCTTACATGCCTGCCGCTCTGATAGGCAGCAAAAGTTCTTCGTGGGTTTTTTGTACACTAACTACGTACGCTTCTTCAGATCGAATGAAATCACGCATTATTTCCGCTCGAAACTGTGTTCGGGATGTATTGGAGTTAACCACATCTCCACTAACTGAAATTAATCAAAAACTACTGAATTCCGGGAACTGGATGGAACCGCACGTCCATCCTTGTCTGTCACTTTTTTGTAATAATAATCTACTGCTTGAATATCTTCCAACTTTTTTTGAATATTTTTTTGAATGGCTTTGAAGGCGTTTCAACTAGATTCGGGTTAATTTAAGTTAAGAGGAAATCTGTGAAAATATGCTCTATCGAATGTTCGCTAAGACAGGACTGGCTTTCTATTTTGAACGGTCTCTGATCATGAACTGCTCTCAGTTTCGGGAACCGCTTCCCGAACGAGAAATATTAGGTTGGGAGCTAACTACGTAGTTTTGGAAGTACATCAAATATTTACCTTAAAGGGTAACTACCTGTTTTTTGAAGTGATACATATTTATAGACCATTAAATTATTTTATGGTCACATGAAACCGAATAAATATACCGTTTTCTGTATAAAAAGGTAGTACTGTTTCCCTACGACATAAGCAATCACTTAGTTCCAACTCTATCGTACAACAATTTAACGCGACAACAGTCAGTCTACGAGAATTATAGGAACCCTAAAACCGAAGCAGATTCCAGCTTTATAATAGGTATTGCTATATAACCTGCGAAACGGGGCAAAACACTACATCATATGAATCTGAATACTACATAAACTTATCAGACTAACCACTTTAACGACGTCGATGAAACTGAACCTCAACGGGGCTCCTTATGAGATTCACCTAACCAAGACTTATAGCATCTACAAAAAAGAAGTACAGGTAACAACTACCTGGTATTCCATTTGCAGCATTTACGCCGTTCGCTAGAGCAGTAGCATTTGGTACAGATTTTGAGCGCATTAGCTTATCTGGAATAAGATAGAGTCTGAAGTCAACATCAGTCGCAAACAATGAAGTGCTAACCTTTTTCGGTGATGATACTGGCATAATTGGCTGGAAACCACCCTGTTTTACCATTGATCGTCCCTTCCCACCATCCCCCTTCAATTTGTTGAGTGATAGTTATCATGTCATTCTTCGAAAAAGATAACTAAAAGGAACTGTTGAGAAATTTAGGTCTAAAACACTGCTCCAAACACTTTATAAATAAATTCAAAACTCAGACGCTGCTCACTTCGTCATTGTTTTTCCCTTCAAAACTAAATTTTGCCTTTGCCACGATAACAGAAGGCTCGGCCATTTGACTGTCCAACCTGGTTTCAGCCATTACCGCAGTCTAAAGTGGCATAATCATAACTGATTCAATAATCATGATAGGAAATAAATCAAAGGCATCTGTAAACAAAAATAGACAGCAAATTGGACAACCCCATCCCAGTCGTCATCAAAGACATCACAAAAATAATTTAAATGATTTGAAAGAATGAATCCGAGCACGTTGCCGTAAGTGTGGGTGCATCCATGTTGGGTGCGGACTTGGCACCGTAAATTTCGGCATCTTGACCTGGGTACCGTCCCCCTCTTGACTTCACAGGTTTCTACTTGGGTTGCATCCTTTTCAATGTTCTTCTTCAATATACCAGGAAGATATGAAACCAATCACCAATGTGAGACTTCATTGATCCCTTTTCAAAACACTATGCATTATAGAAGCGTTTCATTTGTCTACATCTCCAGTCCTGAAGTGATGCACTGCGCTGCTTCCACTTTCTTTTGTTTTGCTTTAATTTTATTGTATAATTACCTTTTCTCAACAACAACATTTCTTGTGGTAACTATAGCTTCTCCTGTTGATCAACTAATAGTAGGCGATCATAAAAAGTTACTGCTGTCACTCATTCCCTTTTTTTTGCGAGCCCACTCAAATCACTATAGTTCAGGAAGTTTGATGTGGATTGATTATTCCAATCTGTAATTTGTTTATAGATCAGGCGATCGTGTTACAGTCGTGTCTCGTGCTGCACTGCTGTTGTCTGTCCAGACCCATACAAGCACTCCGTATGGGTAGCCTGCACCTCCCAAGGCAAGTTTGTGGGCAGTTTTCTTCCACTAGTCTTCCATTCAATGCTCAATGCCGTTTGGGAGTTTTTTCCACGGCCTACCCATTTCGCTCATTCTATTTGTGCAAGAATTAAAGCTCGCATCGAGTCAGTCTCGTCCAGAGATGAATCGGACTCACTTTGTCTATTGCTTTTGTCATTCTTGTCATATTACAATTAGTAGGTTGGATCGGGAAATGATAGTAAAAAAGACCTTAAGGTCGAGACGATAGTAATGACACCCATCGAATATCATTAAGTTCAGCATCTAAGATTAGTTTCAGCTGTTGCCATTCTAAATATCTTCATGTCTTTCAGATGAGATTATTGGAGAACGCCTGCTTTGGAGCACTTGTTTTACTCGGAATTGAAGAGGGCCGTCGTACATGTGCCAATGGATTGCCGGTGATTTCGTCAAGTATTCGGATGTTAGGTCGATTTGAGAAGATGAAAAGCATCCAACATCCTGCACTGTGCGCATATATCGAGCTTGTTCGGTGTACTCTCGGTATGCTCCTTGATATTTGAGGACAGTTAACCACGATTGTTTTTCATTTACAAGTTCATGTAAGTGAATTTGAGGAATGGCTCACAGGTAAGGGAAGAAATTGATGGGAAAGTTCTAACCGGTTGCATCTCCGTTATATTTGGCTCTTGCGTCGTGGTCTACTTTGATTGTAAGCGCTTCAGTCGTGCCCATCGGTAGCGTTCAGGTTGGGGGGGGGGGGGGGGGGGGGGNGTAGCGCAACTAATTGATACCAATTGGTTGCTCCATTCTTTAGGTTGGAAGGTAGCGCAAGAAAAAGCAGAACATCCACATTGCGTTTTTTCATTTTATGCTCCCATATGTTTTCCCACTTTCTTACTCTCATTTATCCTCCCCCTTTTAAATAGGCTGCATCATGGTGTCTCCGCATAAAAGTTTGCACCCATCACATGTTTCTTCTCACTATTCTGTTGCAAAAGAAACACGGGAAGTATGGAGGCGGTAGTGATCCTCTACGTACCTTTTTTGTGCGGAACTTACCCAAGGTTTCCGATTGTACTCAGGCTTTAAAATTTTCAATGTGTGTATTTTCAGTTCCAAATGCCGTTATTCTGATCTCTGAACATCATAATTTGTCACTCTCTTCGCTACTGTCATCTAATAGGTAACTTTTTGGATTTTACGATTCTGTTCTTATAACTGCCGTCCCGCTCTCAGTTTATGATCCACTTCCCTTCGCGAAAGTGGCTGATCTGTTATAATGTCTACACGCATGCTTTTGTTTTTAAGTTTTTGCAAGGAAGCTTGACTAAAGTCGGCCTAGCCTGTCCAATTGCCCGTTTCCTGGTGCTGATTTACTTCTCATGATTTTCAGTCTTTCTTCTGAGGAGATATTCAATGTTTTATGGCAAATTGCTGAAGGAATTTCTGCACTTCATAATGCAGGATTTTGTGCTGGGATACTCAATTCTGATTCTATCGTGATACCCGAATGTGAAGATAAAAGATCTATGACCGTCCGTCTAACCCAGTATGCTATGAGGTGAGGCCGTCTATGAGCCTAATAGGTAGATCGTTATAATTGTTGAGTTTTGCAGTTACATTTCTAAAGATGGTTTTGATATACAGAATGGATTGCCCGTTGGGTTTTCTGTAGCACCCGAACAGCTCATAAAAGGCTTGAGATGTGGAGGAACAACGTACAAAACGGATGTATGGGCACTCGGGATTGTATTACTGGAAATGGCCACGGTATATGGGTTATGAGTCAGTTTTATTACAGATTGAGAGCGATAGACTCTTGATTTTATTCCTCAATCTTCTTTGACTGTAATCTGAAAGGGATAAGTTTCTATCGAATCAGATTTTATTCCCTCAATCTTCTTTGACATTAATCTGGAAGGGATGGGTTTCTATCAAAACTTTTTGTAGGGTGTTTTGTTACGAGACATCTGGTCACTGAAGCAGTACATGACAATTTTGAAGTGTAGCATGACAAGAGGTCAGTGTTTTCTTTCGAACTGAAACCATTTTTCGGGCTTTGATTTCGTGAATTTGATTACACGAAGAATTTTTTTTCCTCATTCTCTCATCGCTTGATGCAGATCTGTTCATTACAACGTGTTGCTTTATTCACTGCATTGTATTAAGTTTGTCATTCCAGCCGTCAACGGTTCGCTTTTGGATCCATTGTTAAAAGCACTGCGATCAGTATCGCAGTCATCACGAGATGTCGCAGAGTTGGACAAAAAGCTGCTTGGTGTCATGGAGAAGTGCCTTTCATTGTTGCCCTCGAAACGCCCCACTCCCGATGAAATCCTTTCTTCCATTAGTCACGAACAAGCATCTGATTCGTCCTACTTCGAGTCTGTGGAAAGCTTAAGCGGTGAGCTATGAACTCGTATTTTTCCTACACTCTCCAGATTTGTAGTTTTTTAATTTCAGAAAGAATCAGCTCTAATAGCAGTAGGGACTGGATCCTACGAGAAATGCCCGTTGAGGACGCACTGTTTCTATGGAGGCTTTGTGGATCTTCAGCCGAAGCTATTTTGATACGCAATAATGTCATCACTCTCCGTCATCGAGTGCTCACAAATCCGAGGTTCTGCTACCATTGGAATTCGATTGTTTTCTTGTCAGGGTTGTTGGGAATTCGTTCCCGTTTCAGTATTGTGGTGGAGGACCTTCGTATGTTTGGTAACGATGAAGCCCGAAAGTTTTATGTAAAACCTGGTGTCGTAATGCTTCCTGATAAAAATATGCGTGAGGTGAAGATCCCTTCAAACCTTCTCTTCTGTGTAAGCTAGTTGTTTATGATATGTGAACTTTAAGGTTGTATAATTTTGCAGAAGTTGTCTTCTATAGCATCCACAGACATTTTCTTGCAATCGTCTCTTACTGCGACAGAGGCTGGCGATTTTCAAAACGATAATTTATCCGTGATTGTTAAAGAAAAGGATATGGTCTATCAGGTTCGTTCTTTCGTTCTTTCGTTGCTGATGGCCGGCTGTTGAACAATGCTTTTACTTCAAGGCGTCTCGTATGCGGCTCATTAGTCATCTCCTAGCTTCACGTTTTTACAAACAGCAAGAACTACTAGATGCAGTTGCTCCAGACATCCCGCCAATGAGAAGAGCTGACGGTAATCTTTTTTTTACGAGCAGGATCACTTCTGTGAGGCATCGTAGTAGCATGGTAGCACCTGATTGAATTCGTGGTAGTCTATAGGAAATTGACCCAGTTCAGGCAATCCGATTTCTACAAAAATTACAGTAAGGCCTTTCATATGTTATATATGTAATGTGTGTATTTCACGCCTTATGCCTTGTGCTTAGTGATCGAAAAATGTTGGAATGAGCTTCGTATGTTTTCCTTCTGTTACCCTTTCCGAAACTTTTATTGGTAGAACGTTTGTTAACAGTCAAGCACTTCGTTGTCGCTGAGCGTCCTTCGGTATTGAAATGATCCAAGTCATACATTTCTTCCGAACGTTGTTTTTACTTGGTATGTGTTGCTAAAAATGTTTTCTAGTTTGGTGTGCTCTACTGGACGTACGATCGAGTGACGAGTGGAACTTTTACCTTTCCAACACTTTAGCTGTCCATATAAGTGATAGGCAACTAGACGTGGACATACCTCGTTGTCATCAGGTATGCGGGTTTTTCCATCGGTCCCCATAGTTTTTTTTTGTAGATTCCTGTGCCAAGTGTGTAGCGGACTTGTCATAATACACTAGTTTCCTGTCCTCTGATGATTAAATAAGGGTATCAACCCTAAAAAGGCAGATCTTGGCCACAGAACGCTTCTCTTCGATTTTATTACAGGCTACTGTAGTGAGAGGGCATCCGTTTGAGCTTAATTTGTTTGATAACGGCATAAGTTGCATCTTTACTAACGGGAATATCCCATAGACTTTGTCCCTTCCATAATATGGAGTGATGCTAACGTGGCACCGGTATGCTTTTTGATCTTAAATTGTGTATAGTCGGAAATAGGATATAGTTTCCCTGCAAGTTGGTAGAAGTCGACACCTTTTATACTCAGTGTTTACGGTTATTGCAGTACGAGGAGTTGATGACATCTCCAGCTGCTCATTACGGGTTGCGGCGTCTTCTGAAAGCATGGCTGATCAGTCATCCTCAGTATGTTTATTGGCAAGGATGTGACAGTCTGGCAGCTCCATTCCTGCTGTTACACTTTAACCGTCTGCGTATGTACACAGATTTTCCTCTTGTACTCACTAGATTTTTTCTTTAATTTTGGTGTTTTTAGCTACTGCTTTGGCTTGCCTTACTGCATTCATCAAGAAGTATCTCAACAACTTTTTTCTGAAGGATAATTCTGCTGTGATACAAGGTCTATTTTTTGAGCTTGTTCTCCGGGCCATTTTATGAAGACAAACATACTACTTACAGAACAACTTGCTGTATTCAATCATCTATTAGCTTATGTGGATGCTAAGTTGTACACTCGTTTGGCCTCTATGGAATTTTATCCAGAATTGTTTGCTATTCCATGGTTTCTTACTTGTTTTGCCCATGTGCTGCCCATTCACAAATTATTTCACATCTGGGATCACTTGCTGCAAAGAGACTCGTCATTTCCTCTGTTCATAGGTGAGCTTTACGTGTCTTTACCGTTTTTCTCTTTACTCGTCTTTCTAATACTCTACTTAGAAGGACCTCCCACTTGTGCAATAAGTTTGAGTTTCGGGTCATCTCTTACCGATTCTACCGAGAAGCGACAGAAAAAAATTAAGAAGTGTATTTTAATTTAATGCAATGAACCATTCGAAAGCAAGGCGTCTACGGAGGGCCGTCTGACCCCGAATCTTTAACCTTGTCTTCATACACACAGTTATTTATGCCGATGAAGTTGCTTTTATTCCCAACGATGGCTCTTCTTGTTTGTCATAAGGTCGTAAGATATACAAATTTTTGAACTTGTACGACTTCTTAGGATTTTATCTTTAGGATTGGCTATTTTACGTCAGCTTCGTCCCACCCTTATAGATGCTTCTTTCAATGATGCAATATTACTGTTTTCCGACTTGCCTGGTATGTCGGTTGACCCTTTGTTATCGCTGTCGTTAATAATGCCGGCGTGTTGCCACGATGAAGTGTTTAGATCTTTCCATGGAAGTGGTTGTCTCAGACTCCATAGCATACTACGATCGCGTTCCTCCTAGCTGCGCGTACCGTCCGCATGCCACTCCTAGCGGTAAGATTCCTTCTTATGATTGTTTATACCATTGGCTTTGAAATGCCCAAATTCAAGCTACTTTTGCGGTGTTAACACTTGTACCATAATTTGACTCTTCCGTAGAACTATTATATTACTGAAGGCAGACTTACTAGCTAACGGGTGTTGAGGTGACGCCATAGATAACATGATCAATCTCTTGTTGAACGCCGTCCATTTTCTTCAGCCCATTGATCGAAATTTTTTCATCATTGTTAATGCATCACCGCTTTTTTTCTTCAGCTAAGTAGAGATATTTATGAGGTTTCCTTGCTAACCTTGTGCAATCGCACCACATGATCGTATTGGAAATCCATTATTGTAATCTGATCATAACGTGCTCATTGGATTTTGGAAAACTAATCTATGTGGAACAGCAGAAGTGGAAACGAATTATTTGAGGAAGAAGACTGTAGTTTCGTGATGTTTAACACTGCTTTGCTGTACAGATTGGCTGCTTCCATAGTCCGCCGGCGTGTCAGCCGAGGTAGTGCTAGGGGGGAGTAGGGAGGCAGAAAGTCGGTGGACGCGGTCGCGTCGCGCCCAAGCCCCGAAGGGCTGAAAACAAAGAAAAACAAGATCAAAAACCAAACAACCAGAGGCTTCTGCAAGGTCTTTGATATTGTTTTCCTTTGTTTTGAGCCCTTAAGCGAAAGGGCTTGGGCGTGACGCGACCGCATCGATCGAGTGTCTGCCCCCCTCCTCCCCCCTAGCACTACCTCGGCTGGCACGCCGGCGGACTATGTAAGCAGCCATTGTCATGACAGAACCGCTTTATTAGGTCGACGTTTCGAAGAATTCGTCGTCGCACGTCGCAACGTCCACAAACTTGAACACCATAAAATTGTAAAAGTGAACAATTGCAGAATCAGACCGTTAGCGTTATTGGCTGGGCACAGTGTCGGAGAAGGCTCCTTTCCTTGGTCCATTTTCAAAGCTCAAGGGAATAGGCCTTCCATTTATCGATGGTGGTAACAGGGCTTCATTGATCGAGGATCGGCTTAGATTAAGTGCAATGCGCAAAAAGCCTCAGCGTGCTACCACAAAATCTTTACTGTCACATATTCTATTCCCATGTTCGCTATACAAAGAATCAAAAGCATACGAGACATAAAATTTTGAGTGCTTTCACCAGGAGTTGTTGAGTTCTTCAGAAGATATAGGCGGGAAAGCTTTATAAACAGGACGAACGCATAGTGGAAAGGATTGCGAGAGATACGAAAATGTGTAGTAGATGGCGAAATCCGTCTACACGTGAGTGTGAAGTGAGGAGTTTGTGACCCTAACTCGTTCACTAAAACGGGGAGTCACAGAACTCCACTTTAGTGACACTTCTGTATACAGTCACTCAACGGAAAAGGTGTTCCTCACACAATGCCGCAAGCTGAATGCTTTTAATCCGGAAGATAGCAAAATTTGGTAAAAGGTTGATCAGAAGATTGGAGTCGGATACACTCTCGTGGCCGGTTTTCAATAATGCAACAGAGGTGAAAACTTAGCTAATGCTAGCGATTACAAAATAAGAACCATCGTCGGCCCTGTAGGAGGACCAACTCCAAAAGACCAACAACAACTATTTCCTGGTTTCTCGATAAAATGTTGGTCAACTACTCCGGTACTTGCGCTCACATCTGCCTTATAAATTACTTGTGGTGATGAGTATATTGGAGAAATCGCAAGACAACTCCACGCGAGGGTTGAGGAGCAAATAGATGGTATGAGGCGATTACAAGAGTCTATGCCTTGGGGAGTCACCAAATTCAAAAACATAACGGAGGCGTTTTTGAGTTCGCCGTGGAGGTCGTAGCACAGGATTCGCCATTGTGCGCGCGCCCTCGACGCATTTTGGATACAGGTCACCGCTCCTAAAATGAATCGTAGGGAATAATGTCTCGCAATCACGCGTGAGCTATGGCCTTATATAAGATTGGGCTTTCCGCAGAAGTTTTAATGAGGACATACTTCAGCTGACACTGGTCGGTTAGTATCATCACTCGCCGGCTGGTTTCGAAGAATCCACAAAGCTACGATAGTGGTTCTCCTTTCGATCGCCTACGCGCTCTAGGGTCTCGAGCTTCAGTGGGTTGGTGGGGACGTTCGATCGGATAGTCACAGACTGTCATGTCCTCTCAGGCTCTGAAGAAGGCGATTCCGCCAGAACGTCAGTATAATCAAGAGCTCACATTGAGTTCTTTAGCCAATTTTCTAGTGCTTCTTTCAGGAACTCGGCGCAGTTTGTCTTTGACGGCTTTCTGAGGGCAGAGGTCGTAGCAGTTCATTCTGATCTTCCTCTTGGAAGATTTTCAATCTTTCGAGCCTGTTCGTATCGCTTTATGACGCGATGTAATTGCTGTCGATGGAGTTTGAGCTTCTTGGAAATCTCGCAACTGAAAAGTGACGAACATCGGGACTACTGCTGAACGATCTTTACGCGAAACCATTTTCACCGAGGAACTGCGAAGAAGACTGCCCACAATAAGTTCAAAATAGGCGGGCAAATCAAACAAACACTTAATATAGCGCGAGATAAAAAACAAGAAGCTCAGAAATCGATCATTTATTACTCAGTGTGGGAGTGTGCCCAGACACTTCATGTGGGTCCCTGTATATATTGGTGAGACGAGAAGGATTCTGGGCGTCAAACACGTCAAAGGGCATCTAGCAGATAAAAGCGTCGAAGTCTACCTACGCTACTTGGAAGATACCTTCTAGAACATCATCAGGATCTTCCTATTAAACGAAATTCCTAACCTACTAGGATGAGATCGATGACACAAAGATATTGGATGCGTTGCACGCCCGCGAGTCTTATCCTAATTGGAATAAGTGTAATGAGTACATTGCCGTTACAAGTGAAGTTCTGCCATCCATTCCATTTAGGGCTTCGAGATCGCCGCGTGAATCTTATCTAATAACCTTCACCGGTGTCTTATTGGTCCTTGTTATTCACGATATGGGTGGGAGGTGAAACAGAATGTCGATTTCTTAGCTGGTGACTTTTGGTGTTTGAGTTTCGGGCAGCTGTTGCAACTGACCTACCGCGTTGGGCGCATGTTCGGGTAAGCCCCAGATCAGTAGCTTCGAACTGCTTCCGCATCTTTGAAGATGACAAATTGCTCGAAACGTCCTAATTAAGCGATTCTATCGTAACGAGCTTGTACGGCAAAACAGTCTGAAACGTCATATAACATGCCCAAGTTTCAAGGAGACCAAACTTGGAAGTCACTTGTATCTTTTCAACGTAACTGCATCAAAATTAACCCTGTAAGGTTTGGTTAGCCCTAACATACCCTAATGTGAAACCATAGAAATGTGCCTGTGATCATTGCTGGAAAGTAAACATAGATGCGGTTAAGCCACTTATTATAGAGAAATCTTCACAACTCTCTCCGAAGAATAGTTAAGCTTATAAGGAATGTGAACTAAGGATATATTCAATTGGGGAGGAGAGTTGGAACACCCTCAATAGCAATAACAATAGTTTTAAGACGCATGTTGTATACTTGTGTGTTAGTTTTAAGGTCTGACGAAGCTGTTAATACAGCGAAAGCTCACCAATAAAGCTTCATGATTGAGTCCTCAGTGCTATTCTCCTAGGAATAACAATAGCGTAAACTTGATTTTAGCGGCAATTTGACTCCAAGACTGTCACCTTTTCGCTCTCTGATCTTCATATGTGATTGTTTCATTGTTAATCATTTTGTGTAGCTTCCTGTGAACTGGCATGTCCGGTGAGAATTTCAACTTCGTTCGTGTCTTCAGCGCTCCACTTCTTCTGCATGACTTTGTTCTAAGATCAGTAATCAGTATCTTTTGTAGACAAGCCGCAAGCAGCTCCACGAGGATTACCTTGTAGTCTTCGCCATGTGCCATACAAAGAGTTGAAAAAATGGCACTGTCCTCGACTATCACGTGAGGAGTTCAAGTGGAGAGTCACGGATCAGTTGATTGTTGCAATCGACATTCGCCCTCAGATTGAGTGAGTTGTTGTCGCTTGTTTTTCTGGCTGTTTAAGGATCTACTAGTCCGAAAACGGATGACGTAAACAGCAGAGGGTTCCATTCAGGTTCGGGAGAGGTTGCGTGCTGCGTTCAATCAATTATCCTAACGTCAGTGATAAGTCTCTGCTGAATATTGCTGAACCAATGAAAGTTGCCCAGAGAAATCAGCATCCTATATGTATTCTTGGTGGAAAGGATGTTGATATAACTCGGAAGGTTCGCTTTTCTGTTTTATTATTCAGGGTACTTTTTATATCCATGTCCTCGCAAGAAATCGGTTGGAGGAGAGTACCATGAAAATGAGGTGGCTGTTGGAAAGTTTTTTGGTGTTGCTTTAGCAAGTTTGTTCATGGCTTGTATTAGAATGAAGCCTGACTTGTGAGCTTCTTCATTGTCAGGGACGTTAATGTTTTTTTATGATCTTCAGATGTGTTCTGATTTTTTTTAAATCCATAGTGATAATCTGAGCATCAGTCAGATCAGTCTAATATAGACAGCACAATTGCTCAGTGCTTTCCATGATCATCACTTCACTTTTTCGCGAAGCTTACCAGTGATTTTTACTTACGGTTTCGGTTTATTTGTAAGTTTTGTGAGTAAAATGTATCATACTGGACGTGATTCCTTTATGTGCTGGCTTTCCCATAATGCTCAACTGCAATGCCCTAGTCGACACTTTTAAACAGTGTGTCAAGGAGGCTATCCTTTCAGTGAAAAGTTTCAGATCCAAAAACGTGACTTCACTGGGCTTTTCCTTGAGGCATGTATAAAATGCCTAGACTAGATTTCACATAAGCAGTCCGTAATAACTGGGAATGGTTTGGGTAGATTTGCCCGCTGATCCCAAAAGTAGCAAGCGCAAGGTTTGGATGGATAAAGATGAATAGGTGCCAGGGATGGCTCATGTTTTTGCGGCTCTATAAAAAGCGCCACTGGTAAAGTATATTACCGGAGAACGTTCCTTGATGGACGGCAGAAAAGCCCCCCATCGGGTCTCACGGAACAGACTTTAATAGAGAAAGGTGACAGATGTTCGTGTGTGAAGATGGCTGGTCTCTTCACTCGGAGCTCCGACACGTTTAGCGTGAAAGGAACATCAGGTGCCAGTCCGTTTCTCATCAACATCCTCTTGTACAGTTCAGTCGTAATTCGATATTTTCATAAACGCTTTCAATTTCGGCCTGCATGTACAATTCAGTCGTAATTCGATATTTTCTTAAACGCTTTCAATTTCGGCCTGCATTCGTTCTTGTTTGATGCTCGATGTTATGAGCGCGATGTCATCTGCTAAGCGGAGATGATGTAAGTAGCGGCCGTCGACCTTCACCATCAAGTCTTCCATAATGTTACCGAAGCGGCACTGAAAATTTGACGAGGCGGTATCGTTCTTTCAAACCTCTCCTCGTTGACAATGACTTCCTTGTAGAATGGCGAAATATTTATAGTGATGTTGCAGAACTACTGAAACATCTTTATACTTTGAGTAAGGATACCCAAGGAGTAAGAACACGACATCCGTCTCTCCAGTAACGAACTATCGAAGACGACGCGACATACGGTACTCTCGTGATACTTAGAATTGCTGGTTTGATCCTGTCAGTGACAGGATCCATAAAATTCGTCATCGCCGTGATGGCATGTCAATTTTCGGAACCTCTCTCTATATAAAGCGCTGACTTCGTAGCTGTTTATGTGTCAGTTAAGGCGTCCGTCCGCAGAAAGTCACGCAGGCTCGATTCGGATTGCAAAATTTTACGTGGGTGCATGCTAACAATGGTAAGGAACGGGCGCCCATTTGAGGCGGCGCGACCCCGCCCACTGCGCCGTTCAACTCGTTCAGATCGCGTAATCTTCTGCTCTTCTCTCCTTTATAGATGATAGAAGCCCAATCGATCATCTATAGAGGAGAAGAAAGCAGAAGATTACGCGATCTGAACTAGTTGAATGGCGCGTGGGGCGGGGGNCGCGCCGCCTCAAATGGGTGGCGCGACCCCGCCCAACGCGCCAAACGACTGCCTCCCGTGAGGAACATGTTATGAAATAGGTAGTCTACTGATACTGCTATTATTGATTTTACTGACCAATGCGACTCACTTGGTGATGTGTTGCACGCGTTAGCGTGCGCACCCCAACTGGTAGAGAACAAAGGCAAATATCATCTCGGATCAGGTGGTAGGTAGACGCGCTGAAGAATATCCCAGCAGAATACGAAGATGACCTGCTCCACTACCCTTCAAGATGCAGTAACTGTCAGGACGACAAGGGAAATTCATTTGGTTGTAATGGCGAAACTCTTGCAGGCATTCTGAATGCTCTTGCCAGACTTAGCGGCTTCGACCAGGACTGCTGCTCCTCTTCCTTTCAGATCTTACTTTATCGTTCCTCTGTATAGCTTCGCAAACTGGACCGTTAGTTGGCGGTGTGTATCGTGTTCCTCAAACGAGGAGGCTCCACTGGTCTAAGTTGCGCCGCGAAAGGGACTAACGAAGACGTTCCTGATGATGTGCAAACTGATCATTGTTGGCGTCACAGGCCTGACAGGTGATTGTTCGGAGTGACTGAAAGTTCATAGTAAAGTTCATAAATAAATGTGCATAAAAAATAAACTCTAGAGCAAAGGTCTTTTTTTGCAAAAAAAAATGCTTTTATTGCGGACCTTGCCTTTGTTCAATCTATAACTGAAAATGTTCTAGTTTTCTGGTGATCTGGTGAATCTCGGAATTGATGGCATTTGTGTACTGGATGGAGGCTTCGAGTCGATTCGGCATGATACGTCACTTATCCACGTACCTCATTAGCTGCTCATATCTAAAGTGCCTTCAGTGGTGCCTGATTGTATTACGGATAACTTTTTTACGGTTCGCACTATTTACCGTATAAGTTTCACAGTATTATTATCATTGGCATTGTTGCTAGTAGGGTTGTCATTTGTTCCCTGATGACAGTCTATAGGTTTTTATCCTGAGAAATGTTTAATAAAACTCATATTATGTGATTACTAGTTCATGTCAGAGTTTACTCTTAGGTTACTACCGGTGCTCACGTTATATCGCCGAAGCCGAAGCCCTCTAACAAATGCGTAAATCACCTTCGCGCAGGATTTTCGCTGAAGATATTTTGAACAGCGTTTTGATCCGATGAATCTTTCTCCCTGATGTTTTAAATTTCGTTTAGAGCATATGTTTGGAACTCCTCTTTGCTTGGGCTGCACCGTTACCTCTGTAGAGCAAGTACCTTTCTATAAACTACATTTCAAGTGTTCGCAAGATATAAGAGTTTCGCAGATAGTAAATATTAAGATTAAAGCGTTTTGCAAGCGTTTACGTGACGTTTAACGAAAAAGCAAAGACATGCAACAAAGATCCGAACCTCCATGTCATCCCCAACAACTGTTTCGTAATTGTTCCCAGAATCGTTTCTTAGATGTGGAACGCAAACTTGAGATCAGCGGTTGAAAACACCTACGTCGGCTTACATGTCATCTCAATGACAACTGCGACCCAGTATCCATTCTTGTCAGACTAAATCACTCGTGACAAAGAGCTGCGTTGAATAGTCCAGAGTGAAAGGTAGTTGGATGTACACAATCATTGCACGAATTTGAGATCGTTCTTCCCTGCGTGTCTTGCCACATAGGCATCCAATTTGTCAATCTTAGTTGCTAATTTGCTCGAGCCACCTGCTTCGTTGGCCTGTGTGAACCCCTATTAGTGCTCTGCACATGTTGCAAACAACTGCACATATCACAGCTCATACAAGGAAGGTCTTTCAGGCCGTGGGACGCTTTTTGAAAACGGTTTTTTGCATGGTGTGGGGGCAGGAAAACTGAGTATAGAACTATGGTCCATTTCCGCTAAATGGCCTTTTGAATGCCAAAAAAAGGAGTGAAAATGATTTTGTCACAAATTGCCGTTTTAACCCACTAAGCGTCGTTCGTTTCTTGAGGTCGACTGTCCGCACAGTATAGGGCGCCATGGACTGCGCATTGAAAATAAAGTGAACGGTAGTCAAAAAAGGGGACCACACGTCGAAAAGTGCGGGGAAGTTTCATATAGGCTCTCCACGGTTATCCTGGTGACAGCGACGGGTGGTGCGTTGGATAGCGATGTGGACTTCGAGTTGGGACGGCTAGACTGGGTTGATGGTTCAGATTCCTGAAGCCATGCCGTTTTTGCTTTTTGTGCTGCCACCTCCAAATCCGCTTCATACTGCACCAAGGCCAAAGCAATGAGCCAAAGAAGTGGAGGTGGACGACAGGCTGGCTTGGCCGGCCACCTAGTCGTATTCGATCCCCAGTCATACGTGGTACCAGCGCCACGGCACAGCACAATGCATTCCTCTGCATCTCCCTCACTCCTACGGCTGATGCCAAAAGCGTCTGTTAAGGTTAAATCAGTGGCCTGTATGTATGTACATTGGCCGTGACCTTTAACGTTATTTCTGTGTGTAATTGAATGTTGCAGGGATGTCTCGGAACCGTCATCATTTTCTGTGTACCCGTATCCACTCCATGATTTTTTAATTGACAAGTCTGAGAGCGTTTTTTAAGGCGTAAATCTCGATCGCGGACTCAAAAACCCAACGCCTGGCTGAGGTTCCCTCGATGGGATCCGCATCCGCAGCCGAATACACAGGAACCTGTTCATGGACACCATATCGAAGAGATTGCCAACTACGTACTAGCTGTGTAGTTCTGCCCTAACAGAGCCGATTTGGCGAAGCGTAGCGTTCCGCGTCAGATCCACCAAAAGACGAACGAGGTGCTGTCTTCTACGGCCCATGGTCGCCTCCTCTGACACGACCGAGAAGTCCTCGATGAGACGTTGTCGAAAGATGGCACCGACTATTTCGTGAACGGGGGGTAATACGGCCTCCTACACCGATACCTGTGTGGGATTGAATATCATTTGCGATGTCGTTCGCTCTAGACACCTCGGAATCATCGTCGGGACCGGAGCCAATGAGCAGTCCAACACGATCCCGTGTCCTATGTCTTCGACGCTTCCATCAGAAGGAAATTTTCCGATTTGATTCGGAGATCTCGCGTTGTCTCCGACGAAAAAAGCACCTGCAGACGAGAAACAAAACAACGGAGTAGTTACTCTGCCGAAACAAAACACAGTAGCCGTTTATGCTCCACTGATATTTGGTTATTCGGTTAAATGACTAGCTGGGCGACCAGGCCAGCCTAGTCGTCCACCTCCACCTCTTTGGCTCATTGCTTTGGTCCTGGTGCAATTTGGAGGGGATTTGGAGGTGGCAGCACAAAAAGCAAAAACGGCATGGCTTCAGAAGTCTGAACCATCAACCCAGTCTAGCTGTTCCAACTCGAAGTCCACATCGCTATCCACCACACCATCCGTCGCTGTCAGTAGGTTAACCGTGGAGAGCCTATATGAAACTTCCGCGCACTTTTCAGCATGTTTCAGCATATCGCTCCCGTTTTGGCTACCGTTCACGTTATTTTCAATGAGCAGTCCACTGGCCCCTTCTACTGTGTGGACAGTCGACGCCGTAAATGAAACAAACGACGTTTAGTGGGTTAAAACGGCAATTTGTGACGAAATCATTTTCACTCCTTTTTGGTATTCAGAAGGAAATTTAGTCGAAATAGACCATAGTTTTATACTCAGTTTTCATGCCCCCACACCATGCAGAAAAACATTTTCAAAAAGCGTCCCACGGCCTGAGGGCCTTCCTTGTTCCTCGTAAGATGAGCAGACCTTGTATGAAGTGGGCATTTCACACTTGTAAGGTGCGCAGACCTTGTATGAAGTGGGCATTTCACATTCTCTACATTTCTACGAAAACCATCACGTGCGGGTTTTAAAGTGCTGGAGTGGAACGTTGTTCGTGGACTACATAGATCTACTGGTATTGTCGACTGAAGGTATCGAATAAATTGTTCAATTGGAGCTGTGTTGATGTTGTTATACAACAGTCATCTATGCTATGTTATCTTCGCCGGCAATACATATTGCTACATTTTTGCTCATCTGACGGAGTAGCTAGCCAATGTCCGTGCTAGTCTCATGGCTTATGAGAAATCCTGGAAATTGGAAAAACAAAGCAACTCCTACTACCTCTAGCATTAGACTGAGTTGCTGCAGCTTTGCGGCATTGAATTCCTTGAATCGATTCGACCAACGGTGTTGTTTCAACATGTTTTGCTTCCTAGCTCATGATTCAACAACGATAGGTCTAAGCAGCAATGCCCATATCGTCATACTTACGAAGCTCGGAGAACTGGGTTACCAACCAATGGGTACCACGAACCTGCACAACAAGAAACGCGTAATATTTTAGGCTTTCGCACGTGTGTCGTGGATCGGTAGCGTTGGGTGTAAAACCTCCGTGTAACTTCCTCCATCTCAAATCTCGATGTTGTAAGTGTTCCATCCTTCTGCTTCAAAAACGAAAGTGGAATACTGTGGTCCTGAAGATCCCGATGTGAGTGACGGTAAAAGGTGGTTCAGTGATATATTTATTGAGTGATGAGAGAGACATGTGGGCGGATTGGATATTCCACACTATGCAACGTTACAAGTTAGTTCCAGCACGAGCTCAACCACCCCCCCCCCCCCCCCCCCCCCCCCCCCGCCCCCTCTTGGCTCAGTAACTCATTATTGTGGTACAAACATAAGTCGACCGTGAAATGGTGATTTGCCATCTCTTCTGCCTTCATCTAATCTCTCCGGTCACAACCAGTATGTTTCTTCGTGACTCACATCTAGTTTGAACAGTGATCATACTCGACCAATCGAGTTCATCGCTACTCAAATTTAATTGGTTCTAGTGGTGACCAATTCCGAGCAATCAAATGATTTTGTTTGTAATCCATCCTGTCCTAGAACGTAAGGAAAACGAACACAAGAAACAATTTATTGCATGATCAAAAACCATAACACATAACATAGATTGCAGGAATCCTCTAATATAATGAATAAAAACTATAACTATGAAAACTCCAAAAAAACTAATGGCGGAAGCATACATACCGGTATTTCAGGGATAACTTCCAAAATTGGCTGACTATGGAGTATTACTTTAAAGGAGGATAGGAACGCAACTGAACACCTCACCCACGCATTCATCACTGCTTTTTCATATTTTCCCAACTAAACAAGATAATGACTCTAAGCAATTATGACTTGACTTGATCACCTTTTACTGTTCTGGGTTTGACCACTAACATGTCGCCGCAAACCCCAACCGACGTAGGAAAGGGGTAATTTCACGAAAAAGGTATGCATGTTATATGACTCTCTTCATCAAATACTTCTTGTGTCTCACTGTCTCAAAACCCTATCTGAAAATTTTCCTTGACTTTCCAACAGGACGTGACAAAAAATATCGAATGGACTCTGTGGAAATGCACTGGACCATTCTACTTCTGACCAGAAAAGATTCTACGGATAGCTGCTGGTGTGAGATATGTTTTTCTAAAGACCGAACTCCTTCGGAAATGGCCACTGCATGCTAATAGACAGAAATGGTTGTAAGGGTCGAAATGAAGCAAAATAACATGAATAATAAGATGATTTTTTGTCAGCTACTTACTACTTAAAGGCACTGTTAACAAAAACATTGTTTCGGACATTTGCACATGGTTTGAATTCGACGCCCCCTCTGATACCATTTGTGCAGGAATGAGGTCGGAAAACGGCTGAATAGGGCACAATCAGGGGCCGGACAGATATCCACGGTCGCCCTCCGCCCCTTGATCGGTGTCACGTTAGACGAGTGTCGAGACGACACAGTGTCATGTAATCGCGCCAGGACCCACCCTAAATTGCAA